CATCGCCCAGCAACAATTACACGTTTTTCGACTGAATTTTCATAAAAAACAACAGAGGACTTACTGAAAATTTTGGCTCCAGAGGGTGCCTCCATGTCAGGTATGGGGAATGTTTATCGGCTTCCTGATCAGCCTGGCAATATCTTCTGATGATGATTGACATTAGCTCATGATCAATTAACATGTCTCCAACCAACTGTTGTTTGAGTGCTAGCCTAGTGATCCGTATAAACCTTGGGTTCTCATGCACAAGGAAGTTCCTGGGCATGAAATAAGTGTAAATGGGAAAATTTTATTCAGCCACATACAGAATCAACAAAAAGAATATCTGGGCGAGTAAAGATTCATATGAACACCTGGAAAGAACTTCTGGCGGTGCAGTAGCAAAGAACTCTTCTAATAGTTGAGAAACATAAGGCTGAGGTGGGCACGGGACAACACCCCTCATCCATGGGTCTGTCTGAAAACCAGGCATGTGGACATATTTCCATCCTGGTAGTCCAGCAGTCCTTTCTCCAAACACAGTTGTGCTGCCATAATTTGGAAGATCAATGAATCTTTCACTGATTTCCTGCATGGTATGCCTTGCAAACTGAAGTATCCCCGCTTTTAGTGTTGCAAGCAAATCATCATCATGTCTTGGCCTTTTTGCTTGTTGTTGATCTGGCAGTACCTCAGATGCAACCCTGATTCTAGACATGTCTCCTACAACATGAGTAAAGCTTTTCCATTCAAATGACCGCATCGCAAAGTACACTAAGGACAACTACGATGATAACATGAACATTCCGCACCTTTGCATGCAGACATGTCTAGCCTGACCCCTGGAATTTTTGGCCCAGCCGAAGTCGTCATTGTGTCCACTGCATAATAAGTTAGTACTCAGTCAGCTAAATGTGCATGCAAAACGAAATGTGTTTTAGTTTCTTCATTGCACTGTGTTGTTCATGCACCTGGTGATGTCTCAATTGCTATTGCTCTTGCTGGGCACTCAGTAAAACCACGGGCAGAACATCAAATGCACCCATTGCTAAGTGATGTCATGAGTTTGTCAACAAACTTGATCATGTCTGCCTGTATGTTGACTTGGGCCGTGTTGATTTCACGCTAACACTTGGCATTCTGCTCCTTTAGCATGAATGTTAACTCATCCCTGACCTAATGCAGTGAAAGAACAGGGACAACAGCTTCAGAACACAACAACAGATAAAAAGTGGAAACAACAAATACTCCCAGTAGAAATATTCAGGAGTGATGCAAATACACATGGGAGATGGATTATGCACCTACCAGACTTGGGTATCGATTGCGTAGGTGGTCTGCAAAATCAAATGGACCCAACACACGTAGTGGTGTCTGCACATCCATGAGGTTGGCTCCTGCTGAATAAGAATCATGAAACGACCCTGCTCTTTCATTCATTTGATTTCCATGCTCCTCATTAAGACTGGTTGGCTGATGAAAATTGCCAACTTCTGCTGCCTGATTAGTGGCGACGTCAACACCTCCAAATAAATTGCAATGAGCATAGCACAAATCACTACCCTGACGGATCTGAGATGGAAAACATATGATTGTCAAAGGCAAGCGAATAACTAAACAAAAATAATTAAATGGTTGTGCTTTCAATTAATCAGTATCGTCGCTACCATGCATTTTGAGTACGAAGCAGGGCCCTTCCCCAAGTCAGTTGCCATTGTAATCATCGTTTTTATTGTGCCCTGGTCAAACTCACTGATCCTAGGAAGGACATTATGCTTCTTATTGAAAATTCCTAGGTCCACATTGTCGAGGAAAAAGACCTAAACACACATAGTTATGAACAAGATAGGCATGAGAGCTGGTTCACGCATAATTAATACTACAAGTAAGAACCTATCTGACCTGTAGAAATAGATGACAACCAACAAGGTTGGTGTTTGGATTATTAGCCATCATATCATTCTTCAAACGACGGACTGCCTCGAGCAAGAAATCCAGGACAAACTCACACCAATTGAATTGTGAGATATTCTTTGTGTTCGCAAGTGCTCCCCAATAATTTATAGTCCCATAATCATGTTTTGTCCTGGGTGCCAGCACATGACCCATCACAAAAATGACAAATGCAATTTGGAAGCAGTCCTTCTCGAGCTTGCTGGACGACTCAGATATCTCACGCATGAGGAATTCCTCAGCGGCACGCAGGCTATGAACCCCAGTCTTGTCCATCCCTAGTGTGCCCTTTATGAAACTTATTGCCTCTGGCTTAATGAAACCATCACGCCCTTTAACGCTATGATGGCCACATGGTATACCAAACACCTTGTGCACATCCTCCGCGAAGAACTTTGTGATCTTTGATTCGGATAGAACAGTTGCTCGACGCCTAACGGATACCTTGCTCATAACCCAGGCATTGATCTTCAGGTTAAGCTTCTGAATAGCAGGAAGTTTCAGCATGCCGCCAAACCCAATTTCAGTAACGAGCCACCTCTTGTAATCATCGAACGAATCGATTACTTCAACTGCTTTCTTGACTGATATCCGAGATGAGGGGGCTGGAGGTGTCTGTTCCTCAAGTGGTTGCTCTGGCTTCTCCATACCCTCTGGCGCTCCCTCACAGCTACCGGCGTCAGACATGATGCCTAAATCGAAGAAAACAAAAATTGAGCTTCATGGAAAATGTCGGGACTGACTGCAATACGAATCATACTTAGCATTTACGTATATAAAGTTGTATACCAATCACACAACAACTGCAACAAGAAATTCTTCCTCCGTGCAAAGACCTGGCATCTAACGTAAATTTAAGCAATATTTACAGGTAATTTGTGTATCAGCCGTGCCCGTACTACGGAAATCCAACCACACATGGTGCCCATCAATTATATTAACTCGAGCGGATCCAGAGTCACAAATCCAAGTCAAATGTTGTACGAATCCAAACTAGTCTAACATTGTGCGAAGATCCAGATTTATATGAGATCCGGTGCCCCTTTTGAATGTAGCAGAAGTTCTATTCTGCAAATCTCCTATGCCATGGAGGGAGTGGATCAAGCTTAAATACAGTACGAGCTTACCAGGTAAGGTTGTGCTGCCGGATTGGGTCGCCTGCGGGCATCGAACCGGCGATTGCTTGTGGGAGACGACCTGACTGCGGGATGGGTAAAACAAATGGCTGCAATGGGGATCGGCTGGTGAGTGGGGGGTGGATGGAGCGGGTGAGATAAGGTTCGACTGGAGCTGGTAGGTACAATTTATTGTGACCGGCCACGTGTCTACTACTACGCGTGTCCCTCCTGGTAGGTACGATTAATGTAGAAATTATAGATAAATACTAAATATATCACTTGGTTAAGTAGAACAATGATTGATCCATAATTCAACATACTTGATTAGTCATAAGATGACCGAATACATGAGTCTTACATGGATAGCCCTCACAAAATTAAATCCCTAGAGCTACCGTACCACTTCTTCATTGATAATACCTAATCTAGTGATTAGGACTAGTACATCATCAGTGCCTACATCTATCTGCTAAGTAGGAATACTACTTTCATCACAGCCAGTAGCAGAAGAACCACCACCAAAAGAATGGACGCATCTAGAAACACAAGCACATGAAGCGCGGAGGCTGACGATCCCCCTTGGTTGAACATGGTTTGCGCCCTCCATGCTTGAGTGGGCGCTGCAACGCCGTGGATCTGCTCGCCTAGACGAACTCTGCGGTGAAGGTAAGATCCCGCCTGAGTGCTTCCGTGGATTGCCTGCTGCGCCGTCCCCAAATTGAAGCTGAGCTCTGCGAGGTACTCCTCCTTGGTCCTCATGTAGTTGCAGATGCCAGCCTGCAATCAAAAATCAGATCACCAACGGCAAGGGCTCGAATTAGAACTATATTTCGAGGATGCTCGCGTAACAGAGATACAGAAACGACTGGTGGGATCGAACTCACATCTTTATTGACGCACTTGTAGAAACGAACTCCAGCATTCGCTCCCGAATGAGCGATCCAGGTGAAGACCCGCCCACCGCACTCCAGGCAACTGATGAGCGGGGGCAGATCCTCAAATACTGCGGTGGAGGACGATGAAGACATGCTCTCCAGCTGGATTCTGGTGGTACGCTCGCACTGGATCGATCGGCCAAGCTACCCGACGCTTCACTTGCTCCGCAGCTAAAAAGAGGAGGAGAAGTAGTGTCGGAGAAGATTGGTAGTTGGCAACTGTCTTGCCTTAAATGAGTACAACGGCTCAGTGGGGACAGAATCGGTGACGGAACGGTCCAACTCGTCATCCCTCCGTCTGATCCGCCGCATAGCTAACTCACGGAGTTACCTGAACTGTGGGCCATGCCCTATTTCGGTGAGTAGCAAAGAGGAGCATACACGTCACCACGACACATATCACGAGATATATAAAAGGTGTTGATTCCGAGAGCCTGTGATCTCGGGCTCACATAAGCACTTTCGCAACTCAGCTGCTAATACTTGAGAATATTCTTTGGCTCCCCTTGTGTCGAATTAATAAATTTGGGTTGAATACTCTACCCTCGAAAACCGTTGCAATCCCCTATACTTGTGGGTTATCACGTGCCCAGCTACGACGCCGTGTCGACAGCAGGCAAGCGCCGATGGATCCGCTCTTTCTGTGTGGCGCGTCGTGCCTCTTGCTCTGCAGCACTCCAACGTTCTCGTCGTGCAGCGAGCCGCAACTTATCGGTGCTGATGCGCCTACCTTGCTCTGCGGCGTGCCATCGATCATGTTGTGCGGCGAGCTGCAGCCTGTCGGCGCTGACATGCCTATCTTGATCCATGGCGCTCAAGCGCTATGTGCCAAAGGTCTGCTCAACCCTGGCATGACGCGCATCATGGCGTCGTCCATCGTGTTGCCGGGGAGCGCCTCAGCCTCGACGGGCCATGGCGCCTGCTCATTTTCCTCATCGACGAGGTTGATGGCAGAGGCGGCGCTTTGGTGGGTTGGCATGCTTGGAAAAGAATGTGCTACAGGCTGCGCCTATCGCTTCCATGCGCCGCGCGCCGCCTAGGTTTATGCGCAATATTGCTGGGTGGCGGGAAACATGTGAGGGAATGGCAGGAAACGGTGGTGTGTTCATAAAACGCAATCAATTAATGGAAACTTAGCATAGAAGGAACATTGAGCTAGCACAAGAAGTAGATGATGATCAAATGAACACGGACCACACTAGGGAACCCATCGGTGATGAATTCATCAATCCCAAACGGTTGAATACTAGCAAGAGTTTGCCCACAACACACACGGCCTATTCCATCACAAATAGGTCCGTGTTCATATGATCATCATCTACTTCATTAGATGAACCCGTCGATGATGAATTCATCAATCCCAAATGGTTGAATACTAGCAAGCGTTTGCCCACAACACACACACACACAGTTCAATCGGTCTTCACACACATTTCTGATTACAGACATGTTTGCCGCATATCACACACATCTTGTTAAGTTGAACCGTTTCGGTTCCCATGTCTCAACGCAAACAGTTCATCCGAGTGAACCGTATGTTGTACATCGCACACACCTTGATCTGGCTGACTGTTTCTTTTGTGTTGCCTAATCACAAACAGTTCGTCCGAGCGAACCGTATGTTGTACATCGCACACACCTTCATCTGTCTGCCTGTTTCTTTTGTTCCTCCTCATCACAAACAGTTGATTGAATTGAACCGTATGCCCTGCATCGCACATGCAACTAAAATCTGAACCGTGTTTGATGCATCCTCCATCGCAAATGTTTTACACCTTTTTGACGGTTTTTACACCACTGTTTGCGATTATGGCATCGCACACAGTTTCGTCGAAGGGTCTCTGATCGTAGTGTCGCGTTAGCAGCATCCTACAGTAGTGTGTGTTTGAATTGAAACAATTGCCAGACACTTTGAAATATGCTTATCTTGATGAAAAGAAAATACATCCTGTTATTATTAATGCTAACCTTTCAGAACATGAAGAAGAAAGATTATTGAAAGTTCTAAGGAAGCACCGAGCTGCTATTGAATATACGCTTGACGATTTAAAGGGAATTAGTCCCACTCTATGTCAGCACAAGATTAATATGGAGCCTCATGCTAAACCCATTGTTGATCACCAATGACGGTTAAATCCGAAGATGAAAGAAGTGGTAAGAACGGAAATATTAAAACTTCTGGAAGCAGGTATAATCTATCCCATAGCTGATAGTAGATGGGTAAGTCATGTTCATTGTGTCCCTAAGAAAGGAGGTATAACTGTTGTTCCTAATGATAAGAATGAGCTTATTCCACAAAGAATTGTTACAGGCTATAGAATGGTAATTGATTATAGAAAATTAAATAAAGCAACTAGAAACGATCATTACCCTTTGCCTTTTATTGATCAAATGGTTGAAAGATTATCTAAGCACACACACTCTTGCTTCCTTGATGGATATTCTGGATTTTCACAAATACCTGTTTCTCAACCTGATCAAGAAAAGACTACCTTTACTTGTCCCTTTGGAACCTATGCTTATAGACGTATGCCTTTTGGTTTATGTAATGCACTTGCTACCTTTCAAAGATGTATGACTACTATATTCTATGATTTTTGTGCAAAGATTGTTGAGGTTTGCATGGATGACTTTTCTGTTTATGGGAAGTCTTTTGATGATTGTTTAAGCAATCTTGAGCGAGTTTTGTAGAGATGTGAACAAACAAATCTTGTCTTGAATTGGGAGAAGTGCCACTTTATGGTTAATGAAGGCATTGTCTTGGGTCGTAAAATTTCTGAAAGAGGTATTCAATTGGACCAAGCTAAGGTTGATGCCATTGAGAAAATGCCATGTCCTGAAGATATCAAAGGTATTCGTAGTTTCCTGGGTCATGTTGGTTTCTATAGGATATTTATCAACGACTTTTCTAAAATTTCTAGGCCTCTTACTAATCTTTTGCAAAACGATATTCCTTTTATTTTTGATGATGATTGTCTTGAAGCCTTTGAAACACTCAATAAAGCCTTAATATCCGCACCTATTGTTCAACCACCTGATTGGAACATGCATTTTGAAATTATGTGTGATGCTAGTGATTATGCTGTTGGTGCTGTTCTAGGACAAAGAGTTGATAAGAAACTTAATGTTATTCATTATGCTAGTAAAACTCTAGACAGTGCTTAAAGAAACTATGCTACTACTGAAAAAGAATTCTCAGCATTGGTATTTGCTTGTGATAAATTTAAACCTTATATTGTTGATTCCAAAGTAACTATTCACACAGACCATGCTACTATTACATATCTTAAGGAAAAGAAAGATGCTAAACCTAGACTTCGTTGGGTTCTCTTATTACAAGAATTTGATTTACACATCATTGATAGAAAAGGAGCTGAGAACCCAGTAGCTAATAACTTGTATAGGCTTGAAAATGTGCTTGATGGCCCACTACCTATTGATGTTAGTTTTCCTGGTGAGCAGTTAGCTGCAATAAATGTTGCTAATAGTACTCTTTGGTATGCTGACTATGCTAATTACATTGTTCCTAAATATTTACCACCTAGCTTTACATTACTTTTGTATGCTGACCAGCAAAAGAAAAAAATTCTTCTATGATTTAAGACATTACTTTTGGGATGACCCACATCTTTAT